TGAAATGTAGCCGGCATCCTCACGTGGCACAAATCCACCTTTAAAATTAAGAGATGAAAAGGTAAAACATCCTCTTCTCCTTCAACACATAAACAGAATACATAGTTGTTTCATGACCACTAGTTTTTAAATATGCGTATGATAAAGAAGCTGTACATAAAGCCAAATCAAAGTATAATTTGCTATTCCCATCATGTGTCTGGTGCTTCAAATATAAACATAAGGCTAATTCTAAGAGTTTCCCCAAAGGATTATAGCCATTAGCAATGCCAACTGAAACTTTCAAAGGCTTTAATTAAAATACTGTGTTGAGCCCTGGCTCATATGCTCAGTGGTTAGAGCATCAGCCCGCACACCAAAGGGTCATGAGCTTGACTCCTGATTAAGGGCAATACCTGGGCTGCAGACTCAAACCAAGTGCAGGCTCAAGGCTGAGACAGTGCAGGAGGCAACCAATCTCTCTCTCTTTTTTTATTTTTCTCTCCCCTTCCTTCCTTCCAATCTCTCTAAAAATCAATGGAAAAATATCCTCAAGTGAGGATTAACAAAACAAAAAATAAAATACAGGGTCAAGGTAAATCTCTGGCCATTTTGCCTCACAAATATATATATATATATAAAAGTCCAGCGACTGAATGGCAGAACGACCAGAACGACCGGTCAACCAGTCACTATGATGCGCACTGACCACCAGGGGGAAGATGCTCAATGCAGGAGCTGTCCCACAGTGGGAGTGCTGCTCCGCTGACCACGATGAGCAGTGCTCCCAAAGCAGGAGCAGCCGCTCAGAGGGCAGGTCCACAGCCATTCAGCTGACCAAAATGAGCAGTGCTCTCACAGTGGGCCGATCCCTGCAGGCCATGCTCTCCACCGGTGCACAAATCCATGCACTGGGCCTCTAGTATAACATAATGCACTACAAGTGGAACTTGGCATCATTTTTTTTTAATTTCTTTATTGGTTAAGGTATTACAAATGTGTCCTCATTCCCCCATTAGCCCCCAACCTCCCCCCCCACACACACTCATGCTCTTATCCCCCTGTTGTCCGTGTTTGGCATAATTTTTAACTCCCCTTCCAGTCCTGTCCCATAAGGGGCTCCTATAATTGGGTATTGAAAAATTTTTCAAAAACAGTATTTGTTTGTTTTTTCATTGTGTAAAACCATTGGCCTTTCAGGAATAATTTATATAATTTTGGTCTAATTAGAATTATGCTTTAACAAACTTGGCTGATATTCAAATTGAGGCACATATGAGTTTTGAGTTCATTTACAAAAAGAATTATCTGTAATTGAAATCAAATCCTCTGAGATTTCTGATAAGGTTAATTTTAGTGATAATTTAAAATGTTTAGCCACACCTTTGCTCCAATTACATTTTCTTTAATTCCTTTCTACTACACAGAGTTTAGAAAGGCTTATTATAAGCCCCGGACATACATTCTGACTAATTACATGTTAACACAATATAAAGTTAGCACACAGAATTATACAATCTCTCCAATGAAAGATGTCTTTAACAGAGATCTTTCAACTAAAAGTTCTTTAATCCAGTTCTCAATTCAGAATTGTTTCTCCTATGTCATCCTTGTTTAGTACATTTACCGCCTATAAGAATGCAAGTTTCTCACTATGTTGTGTAAGGAAATATAACTTCAGAGTATATGATGTGTTTGATTTCAACATGCAAATATTTTTCATGTATATAGATAAAGAAAAATGAAGTGTGGCAGTTTTCAAGCAACATTTTTCATACTGCCCATTTATTAATTGACCCAGGAGTATGAGTACGAATGGCCAGAGGGAAACATCAATCAGTGTTAGAATAACAAAGTAACTGCAGGTACAATATATGTGTTTCAATGTACCTGCAGGACTTAAATAATGGTTAGACTTTCTGCCCTAGCTGGTTTGGCTCAGTGGATAGAGCATCAGCCTGTGGACTGGAGGGTCCTGGGTTTGATTTCGGTCAAGGGCACATGCCCAGTTTGCAGGCTTGATCCCCAGGAGAGGGTGTGCAGGAGGCAGCCAATCAATGAATCTCTCTCATCATTGATGTTTCTATCTCTCTTTCTCCCCCTTCCTTCCTCTCGGAAATCAACAAAAAAATATTTAAAATAAATAAATAATATAAATAAATAAATAATGGTTAGACTTTCAAAAATGCCTACTTGACTTTCAGAAATGCCTATTTGACTATTTAAAATCCATTTTATGATCATCTTTCCTTAATTTAAACTCTCTATAAAGTATTTAGTCAAAGAGTTAGCCAAACTCCATCTATTATGTAAAAACTAGTGGCCCGGTGCACGAATTCATGAACATTGAAAGGAAATTAATTAGAAGAAATATTTTAATACCGCTATTTACCCTTTCTTTATAATAGAAGTGTCAACCAAATTCACGATCAACAATGATAGATGGAAATACCCCCGTGCAATTGGCACCAGCAAGAGCTTTATATGTATCGTGCATGCACGAGTCAACTTAGCCTTTTATGTATATAAAATAAACTCGCTTAATGAGACCTGCTTTTTGATTTAGCTAAACTGTTTCCAGCCCAGTGAAGCACCCCAACTTCTCTCTCAGGTAACTGTCAGCAGCACAGCAGTAAATATCAACACAAAGCAGGTAATTATTATAGATCACACAGGGAGAACAAAGAGTAAAATATTTAACTGCAGCAGTGTTTGACTATATTCTGCGCAGTGAGAAAACCTGAAGTCATTTTTAAGGTCCACCATTTCTTACTTCTTTTCCATCAGGTCAAGTTTCTAAGCTTTCTAAATCTCCATTTTCCGGCTAATGAAAAGAAAATAGGATTCCACCGAGTCTCCTATCTACCTACTCCAGGACTTCTGTGAGGATCAAATGAGATGAGGCATGGGAAAACGCTTCACAGACATTTGGTTAAAGTGTGAAATGTTTGCATCTGGCTGTAAAGCAAGTCGTGTTCCTAAACTGAAGAAACTGCAAGGAGATCAGTCTTCGCTAGGGAGAGGAAGCTGGGCGTTGCTACATGACATCATTACCCAGACAGACACTTAGCATATTAGCTTTTTATATAGAGAGATATTATGTTTTGAATTTAAATAGAGAATTAGGATCAAGATTTAAATTTTTGGCTAGCCTTAAGTCACTTTTCCAAACACAATAATTTTGTTTTAAATCCTAGGTCAGTGGTTGGCCAACTGCAGCTCACAAGCCACATGTGGCTCTTTGGCCCCTTGAGTGTGGCCACGAAGTTTCAATCACACTGTACGTGTGTGCCCACACATGGTATTTTGTGGAAGAGCCACACTCAAGGGCCGCAGTTTGCCGACCACTGTCCTAAATGATTATGAAAAATGAATTTTATTATATGTTAAATTTAATTGCCAAACAAAATTAAAATAGAAATTATTTTTATAGAAGTGCTTTAAAACATGCAAAATAATTAAAGTTCTTTCATTACTTTTAAAATTAAAATACCTATATGTGACAATTTTAGCTTAAAGTTTAGAATATCATTGGAAGATAGACTGAAGTATAGATTGTGACATACCATAGTTTTACTTTTTAAAAAGTATATATTTTATATAAAATTAAAGCCTTCTGCACAGCAAAAGAAATTATCAACAAAACAAAAAGGCAACCAACAAAATGGGAGAAGATATTGGCAAGCAATACCTCCAATGAGGGGCTAATATCTAAAATATATAAAGAACTAACACAACTCAACAACAACAATAAAAAAATCCCAAACAATCCAATTAAAAAATGGACAGAGAATCTGAAACAGACACTTTTCTGAAGAAAACATACAAATGGTCAACAGATATATGAAAAGATGCTCAACCTCACTAGCTATAAAGCAAATGCAAATCAAAACTACAATGAAATATTCCTCACATGTGTTAGAAGGGCTATTATCAATAAGACAAGATATAACAACTGTTGGAAATGATGTGGAGAAAAAGGAAAACTCATGTACTGCTGGTGAGAATGTAAACTGGTACAGCCATTTTGGATAACAGTATGGAGGTTATTCAAAAAATGAATACTAGAACTACCATAGGACTCAGCATTCCCACTGCTGGGTAATCACCTGAAAATCTGGAAAACATTTATTCCTAAAGCTGCATGGATGCCTATGTTCACTGCAGCATCATTCACAGTAGCCAACACATATAAATAACCCAAGTGTCAATCAATGGATGATGGGTTAAAGAAGATGTGATAAATATTTACAATGGAATACTACTCAGCCATAAGAAAGGATGATATATTGCCAACTGTGACAATATGGATGGATCTTGAGAGCATTATACTGAGCAAAATAAGTCAGACGTAGAAGGACAAGAAACCATATGATTTCACTCATATGTGTGATATAAAACAGAAAGCAACAAATGAACAAATAAAACAAACAAAAAACTTATAAACACAGACAACACTATGGTGATTACTACAGGGCAGGGAGGTAGGAAGAGATGGAAAAGGGTAAAGTGGGTTAAATATATGGTGATGGAAGATGGTGAGCATGCAGTGCAATATGCAGTTGGTATATTTTAGAACTACATACTTGAAACTTATATAATGCTGTCAATCAATGTCACCCCCAATAAATTTAATTTTAAAAAATAAATAAATAAATAGCCCTAGCAGTTAGTTGAGCATTGTCCTGTGCACTGCACATCGCTGGTTCGATTCCTGATCAGGGCACATACCAGGTTGTGGGCTAGATCCCCCGGAGGGGTGTATTCAAGAGGCAACTGGTTGATGTCTCTCTCTCTCTCTCTCTCTCTCTCTCTCTCAATCAATAAAAACATTTTTTAAAATAAAATTAAATTTAAAAATATATATTTTAATTTTCAAGGACATGTGATTTAACCCACATCTGGCATTAGGTATTAGTGAGTTATATTATTAAAGGACTTTAATGTATTTTATATTTTGATATCAAGAAGAACTAATTATTTCAAAGTTTAAAATTGCAATGACCATGAGAAAAACTTACCTTTGTTTACTATGCTAGTGCCTGGCAGTGACATATATGAAATTTCACATCCCTGGGATATACTGATGTCATCTAGGGCAACGGAAGCATTTGATGATAAAACAGTAGCTTCTAAAATTAGCTATAATTACAGAAAGACAAATTATTAAATATATACCATAAAAACAAATGTCTTTGTGTAGAGAGAAGCTCATTTGCATCTATCACATCTCCCAATCTAATTTTAGAAAATTGTTTTGACCAGAACATTCAAATTATAAATTAATAGTCATAACTATTTTGACAGCATTTTATGTAACCTTAGTACTTTAAGTAACCTTGTTTCAATTAAAAGTTATAACATTCATCAGTACTGAAGGATTGCCTTCCCATTGGAGTTATTAAGAGCCATATGCATTTAAAATGAGCTCTTTGGGATAATCAACTGTGTGGTTTACAACTCAATTTAATTGAGATATGAATTCATTTGTAATGTGTCTGCTGAAAACCATGATCCATTTCCATATAAGAATATTTAAATACTTATATGTAGTATGTATACATATACATAATTTACTTAGTGAGGTGAAGCATACAATCTATAACCCTATATAGTGGTTAGTAATATTCATATGCTAAAGCATCTATTAAAGTTTAATTTATTCTAACGTTCTGAATAGTGACTGATACAATTTATTTTCCTCTTGTTAATCACTCACATTATTCTGTGTTATTCTACAATCTTAATAAAAACATAAAAGAAATTATATCTGGAGTCTTAAGGAAACATACTGAGTCAGGTGGATTTTCTTGAGCAGGATGCAAGGGTGGTTTCTTTCCTGGGTTCTTGTCCAGACAGATTCAAAGAACAAAGGTGGTAGATGAAAACGGTGGAAATTTATTGGAAACAAGTACAGACTCCCATGTAGGGAGGGGGTCCCAAAGGGGGTAACCCTCTAAGCTCCTTTTTTCTAAGGTTTATAAAAGCTGCCGTTCTTTGTTTCTTCATATTGCTTTCCAATTGGTAGAATATTAGCTTCAAAGCTCAAAACCCACGTGGTGCTCCCCTTTTTCTCTCCCCCTTCAGTGGTAGGATTCTCTATCTCCTGTGAAAATCTTTTTCCTCTTTCTTTCATTTGTCAGCATTTCACTATCCTCTGTGAAAGTTTGTTTCCTCTTTCTCTCCATACCATGCCTTTTCCCTATCTTCTGTGAATGGATGTCTTCCTCTCCCCGTATCCTGTGGCACCTCTTTTATTTCTCTGTGAATGTATGCGTTTTGGCAACCCCAAGCCCTCATCTAGGCAGTCCTCATCTAGTCATTAGAACCCCCTAATTCCTAAAACTCCCTAAACCTGCCTATTTTACCCCTCAAATTCCTTTCAATAGTAGGACCACCAGTCAAGGACACAGCTAATAAGTGCATCTCCATCTTATCAGGGAGGATCTCTCACCCCAAAGATCTTACAATTTACTTCCTATGATACATTAACAACTAACCTATACCAGAAGTGCTATCCAAGAGATATGTATAATAAACTAGGATAATTCAAGAAAAGGACTTCCTTATTTCTCTGCCAAGAATGTGAGGCAAGATGAAAAAGATTTGGTAAAGAAGTAATAATTTAAACCTATTATAATTGCTGCTTCAGATGTTGTTACATTGAGAAACTACTAACATTACAAGCAAAAGCAAGGACATGTGAACATATATGGTATATTTGGAAACTTTGGGTGTTATAGAATGATGGGGTTTGAGACACTCCCCCAAAATATGGCAACTTGGTGTATTGGATATTTCAAGCTAAAGGAATTGGAGAAATGTCATGTGCAGGATGAACTTTTATTTGAGGCTCATTTTCTAGATTTACTCAGAAATTCAAAGTATACTGCATCATAATTCATGAGTCCCCATGTTCATGTATAACTCTGAGGGCTATTTTACTCACGCACACATATCTTTATGATCTGTTACTTTCCATTATAACTTTCAAAAAAACAGATTTTGATCAAATTTCACTTTACCCCTTCATAAGGGAGTCAGTAGTTCATGGATCTACTGAAAGATAATTCATCAGTTGGCCCCTCCAGATTCCCTCTAAGTCCTCCTTCATGCTCCTCTCTGCCTCACATGCTGTCCTGTATGGGCAAAAGACTCTCTTCTGGATCAAACCTGACTCAGGTTTCTTTGAGCCCTCTTTTATTTTTTTTGTTTAGTTTTTTGTGTGTTTTTTTCCAACTGTATTTCAAGTCGTCGTGGCAGGGTATTAGGAAAAGTTTTCAATTAGCAATAATTGCGCCTTTGATAAACCTCATATTGCCACTGAGCAAAGCTTGAGCCCTCTTTTGGACTAGCCTTCAGTCTTGGCCCCTGTCCTTGCTGGGCTTGCATAGCCCAGTTTTAGCAAGAATCCTGCAAAGTCAGTTTGAAGAGAATCCCCCATTCTTAATATCTGATCACTCTCATTATCTGATCGAATTCCTCATTTCCCACCTTTGATGTACAATTCCTAGCCTGCCTTTAGCAAGAATCCTGTTAGGTAGGTTCAGCAAGAACCTACTCCCACACACACAAACACACCCCCCCGCCCCCGGGTCTCCTCTTAAGTCATATTCCACCCACTGACCTCCCCACCTCTCATTCTGCTCCTTGGCTATGAATCCTCAACTGTGTTTGCTATATTCAGAGTTGAGCCTGATCTCTCTCCCATATTGTGGATAGTCTTAATGTCTATTGCAAGAATCCTGAATAAGTCTTCTTTACCATTTAAAAAAGTCAGAAAAATTTTTTCTTTCACAAAACTCAGTGGTCATTGGAACATCCTGGCAAGAGATGGAAGAATGGGAGATCTGGGTATTTATTCCCCCAGAGCCCCTTGGGGGGGGTCCCATCACTCAAGTGAAGGCCTCAGCTCCTGTCAGAAGGTCCTCTCTGTCTGCCATAGACTGCTCCCCTCCTGCTCCTTCAGGTTTACAGTTACTAATGGAGGCGTATTGTTACCAGTCCTGGGGACACCACACTATTTCTACAGGATGAACTTTTTTATCTTCCCTGGAAGCAGATCTAATAAGCTCATATGAAAGGTGCCCTCCCTATACCTGGAGGAAAGGATTTTCCTTATCTCTGAAGACAAAGGACAAAGAGGGGAATCTGAATGAACAGCCCTTGTTAAATGTCACCTAGATTACTATACTTCCCTCATACTCCTTGCCCTATTATATTCATTGAACCTCACATGAAAATACTCAGGGTTGAGTTTTTCAGTGTGGCTTCATGTCCTTATGAAGGCTCATATGTCACATAACACTCACATTAAATAATTTTGTACATTATTTAATTATTTGTACACTTTTCCCCCAGTTAATCTGCTTTGTCAGTTTAATTTTCAGACCCAGTCATGTCTGAAGGGGTCTAAAATGGATAAAGAAAACTGTTTCCTCCTGTATATAGGAGAATCAGATTTTAAGAGAACAAAAAATTAATTGAAGCCTGGCCAGTGTTGCTCGGTGGTTGAGTGTCAACCTGTGAACCAGGAGGTCACGGTTAGATTCCTGGTCAGGGAACATGCACAAGTTGCAGGCTTGATCCCCAGTGGGGGCCGTGAAAGAGGCAGCTGATCAGTGATCCTCCCTCATCATTGATGTTTCTATCTCTCTCCTTTTCCCTTCCTCTCTCTGAAATCAATAAAAACATTTTTTAATTAATTAATAGATGGAAAGGATGGATTGCATGAATTGAAGAGCAATTGAATGGCATCAATTTGAAGAAAAATTGCATAGACGACAAAAATTAATCCTACTTTTCAGCCTTTATGCTAGAGAGACACTCATAGGCATACACATGAAGGCCTGTGCAGGAATGTTTATTTCAATGCTGATTTTGGTAACAAATGAATAGGAGTAATTCAAATGTGAGTCAATAAATTAATGGTGATATAAACCATAGGTTATTATGCCAGTTAAAATTAATCTATCTCTATGTGCTAATATGGAAAGACCTTCAATATGTGTTTCTGAGTAAAAAAAATAAATTACAAAAAAAAGTTATAGTATGATACTGAGTCAGGATAGTAAGAAGCTAGAAAATTTATTGGCAAGTGGAATGGAGAAACTGAGATAGATGGCTAACTCAAACTGGCCCTATCCAGCACCCTGACTCACCTGCCTCCATCTCCCTTGCAGGATCACTGGCTAAAGTATTAAGCCCTCATGACAATTAGGTTCTGATTAGCATCAAATAATCTTAGGAACAAAGTCCCAGGTCTATTGGCTACAGAGACAGAGTTTTGGTTAAACTAGGGATAACATCTAGGCCTCATTTGTGTTTCAGCTCCCGGCCCAGAAAAGCAACAAAACTAGATGAAGAGAGCCATGGCTGACATTAGGACCAGCTGCAATGACTAATGACCACTTGCCCTGGTGCCAACCAATCAGTAGACACCTGAAAGGGCACACCTGGAAAACTATGAATATTCTATTGAGAGCTTTCCCTAAGAACTCCCCTAAAATTCCTGCCTTTAGAAAACAAATAAAAACCCTTAAGACCAAGGACCTAGTGTGCACTCTGTCTCTTAGAGCATGCTTTCTTCTTTCCCCTTCTTTCCTAAGGAATGTATCTTTGCTTTCTTTTTCCAAGGGCCCTTACTTTGCCCCTGTAATTTGTTTCCTGAGTCCACACAGCCCAGCTGGCTCACTTCTTCTACCCTGTGAGTTTCTTTCCAAAGATGCAAGGCAGCTCTGCCTAGCTTACTCCTACTGGTATAATATTGCCTCTTCTATCTTAAGCCTTTCCTTTGTTTCTCTCTCCCCAGCTTTAACATGTACTCTCAAAATCACCTGGACTTATTGTGAAATCTTTCCTGTGAAAAGTTAATAACCAAGAGCCCATATTGCCAGTAATAATACTATTAGGTAAAAATACACAATGGCTTGGGTTTCTAGATATACATTGCCTATTTTATAGGACAGATATCTATATATATAGATAGATAGATAAAAAGAAGTAATATGCAAATGAGGTCAGGACTCTGTAACGGTCATGACCAGCTCAGGAGAAGGGGCTGGATGCAGCCCTGAGCCTGAGAAAATAACAAGCAGGTGCAGCGTGGAGAGTGAGAGATCAACACAGAGGGGTGCCTGCTC